TTTTTAAGAAAAATACGCTTTCAATGGCGTAAAATCCTCCTCGAAGTTCCTACCGTAATCCAACAGTAATGAAGAGTGAATGGTTATTCGCTCCATAATGTAAATCTAAGTTGAACCTCCCTCTGCAGAATCGTACCGTAAGCTCGGCAAAAGAAATGAAAGCAGGAGAGTCAACGATCGAACAGTGTACACATTTTTTTGGGAAGATCCTGTATGTGTGTTGCTGAATTTTTTAGCTAGAAATCAAGAAGACGAAAATTTGCATGTTTTTACCAAAAGTGATGCTGTGCTGTTTTTACACTAACAATTGTGCACTACAAGCCCTCAAAAGTACAACCGTAAACTTTTAGCTCTTTATAAAAACCGTAAACTTTTAGCTCTCTATAAGTTTTCCGAGAAATGTTAAGTTAAGGCCTATAGATAGCAATCTTGCACTTCTAACAATAAGAGTTTGTAGTATACAATTGTTAGTGTAAGAACAGCACAGCATCACTTTGAGAGAAACATGGAAGTTTTCGTTCTCTCGATTTTTAGCTAATATAAAAATTCAGCAAGAGCACATATGAGTGTCTATTGTGGAGTGTATATGCGTGAGCGAGTGAGAGATCACTAGGACTTTTTGAACGAAGATATAGAAGATTTTTAATTTTCTGGGCATCCGAAACTTTTTAGATTTTGGTTTTGAGGTGGATCGAAGCTGGTGCAAAAGCATGAACGCCATCTTATAGAGCTTGCTTTGTTTTATCGAAAGGTATATTGATGTCTATTTATTATAGAATAAGAAGTGTATGACTCATCGCAGCAAAAACTTAAATATGAAAAGACATATGGAACAACCTAATATATGAAAAACTTTCAAAAGTCTGAGTTAGCCTTGTAAAAAAATTTGAGGGAGGTGGCGCCGCTACGCCCCTATTCTTGAGATTTCGGGGTTATGGGCCGCAAAAATTTTGAGAAGTACTTCAAAAAATTTTCGGAGTGCGTAGCTAACGCCACGCATCTTCTCCCGTATAAATTCTCCCCCTCCCCCCCCACATTTACTCTTGAAGGGGAGGAGATACATATGCGTTACTTGAACGGAGGACGTTCTTATAGGAGGTGCATTCATGAGCTCTTTCTCGCTTTGGCAGCACGGACGGCAGATTCATGAACGAGGGAGAGATCAACTATGGGAGTTCGTAATACTCAAAGCAAAGCTGGACTGAACTCAACCGAGCAGAATGATCTTCTTCTGTTAAGCGAATATGAGCTCAGATTTCCTACAAGGGAAGGATAACTTAGATTTGCCTTCTGAGATGGGACACATATATCTGCAATCAGCTATAAACGCTGATTTCATCATTCCGAAACGAGTTATGGGCTTGCTGTTGTGAGTAACTAACAGACTTCTGAATCTCATAAGGATAGATAAGAAGATAAGCACTTTTTTCGTGTAAAGAATCTGCTCGAAAAAAGTGCTGGGATGTTGTAGGATGTTGAACTGTATAGATTAATTCTTTCGATCGTGAAAGGGAGCACTATACAATTGCAAAACCCTAGACGTTGACAAAGTAGCATCGGTGGGTCGAGGAGCACGCAAGCTTTGCATAGAAAAAAACCATAATTTGCTTCAGAATAATGCTAAGCACTCAGGAACAGCGTATTTGAAATCAGCATTCCAGCCTGATTCCGAATATATGTGTATCATCTCAAAAGGCGAATCTAACTTAGTATCCTTCCATTGCTAGTTGCCTGCTACAAAATCACCTTTTCAAAAATCGGTCATGTTTTTACGAAAGCAAGTTCTAGACACGTAATCAAGAGCTTACACATAGAACTGTACGACAATACAGAGATTTTTCCCAAACTCCCACGCATAATTATTGTCGTCTTTAAAGGCAGCGTCCAGGCAGATCTGAACCTATGGGGCTTTTACGTGGAAAGTACTTTTGGGGCCCTAACTAAGGCACTGCCCAAGCGGCAGCTCAGGTAGTGCTGTAATGGCTGAGATATTCCCCTCGAAACTGGCCCCGCGAACGTATTCGCATGGATTCTTGGCAGTTTCGCGCCAGGATCCACGCTTTGCGCCATGAATCCATGCGAAACATGGTCGCGGGGTCCAGTTTCGAGGGGAGTATCTCAGCCATTACAGCACTACCTGAGCTGCCGCTTGGGCATGCCTTAGTTAGGGCCCCAAAAGTACTTTCCACGTAAAAACCCCATAGGTCCAGATCTGCCTGGGCGCTGCCTTTAATAGGTACGTCGAGGCTGCGTACACTGCACTATCCTTTCCACCTTTTCACAATTTCTACTAGTCAATTTCCATAGTTTTTAAAATCGACCTGTCTTTGTTAGAAGAAGGAATAAACCAGCAGTTTATTCACCCAGTCAATTCAAACTTACATCTTCGCACAACGCTTACGAATGAGCTTACTTAAGCAGATCGGAGACTGTTCAACAGTTTTTGTTGAAAACTATGTTATACGTCTCAAACTTGCTCGCTTTCTTTTACAACTCTTGCAATCCCATGACCAACAGTAAATCAACGATGCGCCCTTCTTTTCATACAGCTGCCATCTAAGAAATGTATCGAAGTAGCACATTGTGATAAATTATGTATTCTATTAGGTTTCATAAGTTCGTAGAGTTTTTATTTTTGTCGCCGTTTTAAGATGAAGCGGTTGGTTTATGGCAAAGTACCTGTACCATTAGAAAGAGAAAATTCTGCTCTAGAAGAACTGTTCGTTTTCGGAGCAAACCTGAACTCCCATCTTTGACGAATTCTCGAAGCAAAATTTTTTGAGAGGCAAAAATTGGCGACTTCGGCACCTGCAACTTTCACTCCATATACGAAGTCACAAGTGGGATTTTTTCATCTGAAGTTGCTATAAGTGACAAAAGACAACTAGTTATGGGACTACGGTGCATATAAAAGTAGTCTCCTTACTTAAAAAGCCGCTATAAAGAAGGATTAAGCGCACTTTTACCATGCGTGTAGATGTTTTGCGTTTGATACAATTCAGAGAAGTCCCCACTCCAAGAAATTTTGAGAAGGCATAAAATGTTGGCCAGAGCTTGTACTCATACATCTACGCCACCTAGACTCATTCATTCTTCAGGGCCGATAGGAAGACCGACACATACTGTCGCTAAACAACGCACAAATCTCAAGCGGCAGCAGTCAAAGACAACAACTATTGGGACCTTGTTCAAATGGTTTTAAGCATATTGGCATGCTGCAATACCAGTCTTTGTCAGTATACCAGTCTTGCTTGTTACTATTCATTCCGCCTACATATGACAATAACATTTTGTGGGATAAGGACCAAATGCGGAAAGTGCAGTTGCCGAAATCGCCAATTTTTGCCTCAAAAAAAAACTTTGCTTTGAGAGGTTATAAATCAAAAGGAATTAGATTCGCTCCGAAAACGAACAACGGCATTTGTAGAGCAGGATTGGCTCTTTCGAACGGTACAGGTACTTTGAACAAGGCTTCATCGAGAATGGCTACAAAAATAAAAACTCTACGGACTTTGAAACTACCTAATATTTTCAGATTTTTAAGTCGCACTCCATTTGCTCTAATCGCTGGCAGACCTAGACGCATGGCTGCGCGTGTGCTTCGCGGAGCGTTCGCTCTCCTTTACTTTTTCGGCAGTTGCGGATCCCTTTGACGCTTTGCGTTCAAAGCAGTCGGTCTGCGGTTTGAACACTAGAAATTGGTGTACGCACAACTTCTCTCAATTTCTCTTAATTCCTTGAAATGCTAGTGATGGTTTATGAGCAAAAGTATATCCGGTTCTAGAAATCAAGCGAATTTCTTACTTAATGATCATGCTGGTTTCCCTTGTGAAAAGATTTCCCTTTTCCATCAGTAAAAGTGGGGGACGAGTGGCGTAGTGGTATGAAGCGCCGCTATGACCAGATCGGACACAGGTTCGATCCCCGCCCCTGGGCCAACCAAGCCCTCTACACTCAGGAGCTGGTAAATTGGTGCCAGAGTAATCTGGGAGGATAAAAGCATGACTTGGAAACGGCTTAGAAAACAGACCTTTGACTGCGGCAGTCCCATCATTAGCTCAACCGTCCTATAATCTTCGTTTCTTCCTCAAGAAGCTTTTCTAACTCAACACAGCCTTTATTGGATGCAAGATGTCATGACAATCTCAGGGCAAAACGCAGAAGATAATAAAAGTGAAAAACAGATAATGCCTTACGACAATCTAAATTGCATATCTGACAGAGATGTACAAACATCATCATGTATGCTCGTGATGTTATGAGGGATCTTGGCAATTAGTTGAATGTTCATTGAGATTTCTCATCCTGAGGCATTACGTTAAGATTGAGACTAGTTTTTCGCTTTAGGTAATTTTTTCTCGTCTCTTCAACAAAAAATAAAAATAACACGGTATCAACTTGATTCATTGCTTCAAAGTAAAGTCTGTCAGAAAAAATACAAAAGGTGTCCAAATTGGTATTGCTTATGTAATAATTAACCACATTTAGGTACTACCAGACAACTCGAAATCTCCAGCACAATTCATCATCTTCAATGCTCACGTGCTAATCTCCCAAGGAGGAGCAACGCTTTCTTTCATAACTTTTGGAAATCGTTTTGCAAAAAATTAGCAGGTTGGTTTGGGATTAGCGTTCATAAAAGAAAGTTTCGAGAGAGCAAATGTATCATGATGGCAATGACGATGGTCGCGAGGCGCAGTTTTGACAGCCTCATTTTCCTGATTATGCTGCTCAAAGCGTTATATTAAATGCGTATAGTTGCTTCTATGCGCGAAAGAGCGCCAAATTTTGTTTGCGTGCTTTTGCTCTTCTGAGATTCGTCTGCGAGCAAAGGTCGTAGTCGAATCCGTCTTCAAGATTTTATTAAGGTCGTATTTTAGAAGCCATAGTCACTATGCATCCGTCTCAACAGTTTTACATCCATTCTTTTTTATACATTGTCATTACTTGTTTTGCTAGTTTGACTCAGATTTCAGAAAAGAGATTTAATTATTTCATACCATTTGCAATCACTCGATTGATCTGCGTTTTTGTATGTCCTTTCGCACCTAGTTGAACCATGGCGAGTGCGAAGATGACCGAAACTGGAGACACCACCATCGATTCACTTGCAGGAGTTTGTCGAAGCATGTTCAGAGCAAAGTTCGTCTCAGCAACTTGCATGGAGGCACTACAAATGTTCTTAGCACTGATTTAAAGGATGGATTAGTTAATTTTGGGTCATACGTCTTAAAGTTCGGGCGTGACAGTGCCCCCATAACCATGTTGAAATGGGTGCCACCAGTAGTGCTACAAGCTTAGGGACGAGAAACTGCAGCAGCTCCTGGCAAATACTTTGCTTATGCCAGCAGAATATCATATAACAAGAAATTATTTGACATTTAGCGGGGTTTTTATGGCTATTAACTATTTATGTTCGAGAAAGAATAAATCAAAATAATGGGTCATGAAACATTGCGAATATCGTTTGTGTCGTGTAAGGAACCACATTTTATTTCAATGATTTGAAAATTCAAGATGAGAGAAAGCGGAGAAAATCTGACAATACTTAGGCCTTTCCTCTAATGAAGATGCCAGAGCGATAAGATGTCGCTAATGAAAAAAGTTGATGTTCAAACTTGCGGTCTAGGTTCGAGCATTTCTAGCAAAGATAGGTTACACTTATTCATAAGAGGATAGCTGGGACACCTAGCTCCGCTCATTCCCTATCAACATTGCATGATGGAACTCACCGTTCCATCCCACATCTGAACAAGATTTTCCTTCTTTGTCCTACATCTACATGACAGATGTCTGCTTCCGTAATCAGATATTCAGCTTGCTCACTTTTATCTTCCCTGTGCCAAGTCCCAATCCCGCAATCCGAAGTTTGCAAAAGATTGAGAAACTCAACTAATAGTGTGGGTAACTAACTGGCTTACCCGGCTCCGCCCGGCCCTCTAAAACTGTGATAAATGTTCCATCTCTATCCTGTACAATCTTTCTCTGTACCCATTTTACATGCCAATTCCATACTCCCGCTCTGTTTTCGTGATGGGCGTGCCCACTACCCCCCCCCCGTGCCTACGCCCAGTCCTGTAGCTCAAAATTCGCAAAAAAATCGATGAAATCGGTGAGAGCTTAGACAGTTCCCAAGACTAATATTGTATAACTAAATGCTCACTTACCCCCTCCCCCTTCCCCCCTTCCTCTCCTCCTGTGCCAAGTCCAGCCCCGCAGCTCGAATTTTGCAAGAAATTGATAAAATCGATAGAAGTAGTCGCAATTTTGGAAAACCAGTGCGTCACCTCTGCTTCGCAGAGGCTCGCACTGGCTCTTCTACCTTATGCCACACTCATTTCTGCATAACATGGCATTGAAACCTACCGCGCAATGCCCGCCTTCACGAATGGTTCGTAAACAACTACTCATTTCCTAAGCTTTTTCGTGTGAGATCGGTATTTTGCGTGGATGACACTTTGGAAAATGAAAAACAAATGCAAATTTGAACAGGTTTTGAAGCTTTTTTTGGCTTGGTAGTCGCCATAAGGACAATAGTTATCGTGAGCTACATCTCGATGCAAAAATCTTCTAAAATGCTCAGGTGAAACCACGGCGGATTGATCATTTATGCGACCATTTCTTTTGGCGTCGTTTTCATAAAGTAGCAAACCTTTGGTCACTTTTTGGTCTAAAGTCCATGGCTTATACATCAACCTGCTAAACACATCCACGGCTTTGCAAAAAGCGTTGATACGGACCCAATTTTGCGGGCCAGAAGCTAAGTGGATCCGTCTGACTCGCAAATTCTGATGGATCCACCCAATGAATCTGCTCGTGATTTTGTATGGTGGAGTTCTACGCTGGTAGCATGCGCTGTGCAAAATCTGGGCTCAGGACATTGGCTGGAACTCGCTCTATGAATTTCGTTACAGACAGACGGACACACACACACACACAAAGTCACGTAAACACCCTTAGCCCGTTATTATAAGTTATGATAATATTGTATTCGTGACCAGAATACTCGATTCCCCCTCTGTGCCAAGTCCCAGCCCGCAGGTCAAACTTAACAAATAATCGATAACGAAGGTAGCCTACAACACCCGCCCCGAAGTGTGTGTGTGTAAAGTTTGGTCCGGATCGGCTCAAAAATGAAAATTTTTTTTCGGAACATATGTACAGACAGATACATACAGACAAACAGAATTCAGCTTTATATATAAGACTTTACTGGTTATTTGCATCGTGATCAGCATTTGATTTACCAGTGCCCCCTCTGCCAATTCTCTTCCGCATAGCTCAAAGTTTTTAAGAAATTGATAGAATGGTAAAAGTAATGGGTATACTTGCAAACGGTTATTATATTCGTGAAAACTATGCTTACTTATCTCTAGACCGACTACAAGCTCTTCAGGCCAACTTCAGGCCCTAATGGAAAGTATGTGACACAAACCCCGCCAAGAGAATGTATGCCGCTTTTCAGACCTATCCCAGAATTGTATAAAATTTAAGATGAACAAACGCTTCAAACTCTATCCGAAGCAGAATTTCTTCCTTTAGCAGTGATGTTTTATGGGCGCTTGAATAATCGTTAGAAGTTCTATATTTAGCTGTTTTTAACATCTTCAGTTTGATTTTAGAAAGAGCTCTAATTTTTGTTGGATAGAGTAGACAAAATGCAAGACAACGAATTCTCTGGGCTTCTTCGACGGGCTCGCATGTAATTTTAGAGAAATTTTCTAAAAGTCTTCATTTTTGCGAAGTCTTAAAATCATTACTAATATCTACGAATTTGAAACTTATGAAACTCTACCTATTACTTACTTAACAAAGCATATGGGTGTTTACCTTTGAATCAAATTTCGGATTTTCCGGGCACAACTTGGGCGCGCTTTGAAACTAGAATCACCAGGATTTTATCCTCAAAGCCCCTCAAGAACCAAAAAAAAACTTTTATCAAAACAATCTGCATTGAACACCTTGGTTGCTGGCTATTTGATGTTTATAAGTTTGGCATGACCAAACATGGCATGGTAGCACCTAAAAAAAATTTCACCAAGGTTTTTGTTAGAGTACCTAGTTTGAATTATTGCAAAAGTTGACCATGGTAAGGAGTTGTCACTTCGTCACTTGGATTAACTTGAGGTTTGTGTCAATACTGCTTTTTCAAAACCTGGGAAAATGCACAACGCAGTGCCACAAGGTGGGTCCATTCTGCTGTATTGTTCAAAATTTTTATGCTTCCGAGCTAGCGAATAATCCCGTTAGGTTGGGGATTTTTTGTAGTGCATTCACGGATGACTTTAATGGTCACTGCCCATTTTCAGAGAAAAAAGCAAAGGTCCATATTGGACCGAAAAACGACATTCCAAAGTTCAAAAACATTTCAGGGAACTTTTACCTTCAGGAAGTGAACTCAAAAGAGGACCTGGGGTCCACTGTTTGATTACGCTCCCAAATTCTACCAGAATACCTATGATTAAATGAAATGAAATGAGAGTGTTTGGCGCATTTGAATGCGGGAGTCCCTTCATGACATATGATGAACCACCCTATTATGTTTTGATGTATAGACAAAAGCAGTATGCTAGGTAGAAGTCAGTCATTTTCTGTTCACCATATAACTGAAAATATTTATGTACAGTCATCACTCAATATTTATATGTCAAGAGATGCCAATGCTAGCTGCTACTGTCGGCGCAGGAGATCAAGTGGGTGTATGTAAGCGGACAACGAGTTCAGCGCCATAACCTCATTGGGGAGCGTGGTCCCGTCGAAGATCTCATTTGCCTCGTGGGTATCTGGAGGATAGAAGGAGGCAGCTGTCTGCGTATGCTAGCAAGGTACTCGTAGATATTTTTCCGCAAAGATTCCGTTGGCTGCTTCGATGTCCTCACAGCAGACGTCTGCCAGTCATCATCTAAAAGTTATTTGTCCTTGAAGTATAAGCAACTATAAAGGCCAGTACCTTGTTGATTTTGCATGTATGAAGCTCCATACTCGGTAGGGTCTTGCGACGGATTCTGCTCCTCATCTTCGTAGTACCCTCGCTTAAGTGGTGGTTCTCTCAATGGGATCCTGTCAAGCTGCGAACTCGTCAGTGGGTACACATAGGAGTCTCTCTTCTCTCCTCGTTTCAATGGTGGCTCTCTGATCAAACGTGGGATCGAAAAAGGATCAATTCGTTTCAATGGTGGCTCTCTGATCAAACGAGGAATCGAAAGAGGATCAATGCCTGGAATCAAAGATGTTAGTCTAAGCTCTATCACTGTTTTCATCCAACCTCTTTTGATCAGTGGAGGTTCCAGAACAACGCTTTCTGAGTTCTCCTGAGGCGCTGGGTACTCATGCTGTTCTTCTTGTGGTGTAGTGGCTGGAATGTTCTATCCTCATTTAGAAAATGTGTATTCCATTCAGCACTCATAATTTGAAGTCCTTCTTCTCTTCATGAGGTTTATTTGAATTGGTGCATTAACATATATTTATGAAATGGAAGGGCGTAAAACCAAAATCAACTGCACCCTTTTAATGAGATTCTCACTTCAAATATAGCCGTAGTGTCGCTATTCTACCCACGATTTGTCGACATCATACATTTCAAGACGATAACCTTTCAAAAGTTTTGTCGCTTTTTTCGATTAGTTAGATACCACGTGCATAAAGAGGCCCAGATGCGGCTAAACATGCATTTTGATGCAGCTTTCAATTTTCTTTTCGAAGGTTGCAATATTCAGTCATGATCTTCTGAATGCCTGTAGCTAAGTGCCAAAATTCTTCACCTATCATTTCTCTCAACTCAAAGTTTGGCTAATTTCGAAAATCCTATTCTGGAGTTTCGGAAAGGTGTGTATGATTCGAACAGAGCAATTCGCACCATGCGGTGGTGCCTTCTGATCTCCTTTTTTCAGAGAGAAGATAATTCTTTGAAAATCTCAATTTTCGCTGAAGTCGTGAAACACGCAGCAGCAGCAAAAACATGAAAGTTTCGAAGTTCTGCGTGTTGAAGGTTGGATGTTATTGAATATCATTTAAGCAATATGTAAAACTAAGATTTTGAAGTTAAGGCAAATTTGGCTTCACTGTTAAATTATTCAAAGAACCAATACGTAACATCGCACAAACTGCTTAGATTAGAAAAAAAGTGTAGCTACCGGAAAGAGGATATTTGAAGAATGATACGGTTAGATGCCATATGACAGAAAAAGCAGAACAAACTGGTAGGTCAGAAATGACAAAGTAAATGCTTCAGTCCAAGATGAAGAAATTGAAAAGCAGTTTAGACATAGGTTCATTCAACTGTAGGAGGTCCTGGGCTATGAGGTATAAGTTTTTGAACAGCAGTGACATAACTACGCCTGCACTACAGATTGTACAGAAATCATATGATGACAGAAAACAAAAATTCTTCACAATCACCCTTAAAGGCAGTGGCTCGGGAGAACTGCAACTGCGCGCTTTCTGTCCCTCCTTGGCCTTCTGTAGACTGAAGCTATGCTTGGAAAGTGAAAAAAGTGTTTCTTATGGGTTTTCCGGTCTTGGAGATTGCTGAGGAGGCTGGAGCGGGGATTCCCGTCAAAACCAGTGACTGGCTACAAAATACTGTAACACCACTCATTTTGGCGGCGATTGGCTGATTAGCCCAGGCAGCCAATCGCGACTCGGCTGCGGGAATCTCCGCTCCAGACTCCTTAGCAATCTCCAAAGCCGGAGAAGACAATAAAAAGCACATTTTCGACTTTTCAAGCACAGCTCTGGTCTAAACGCACCCAGAAGGCCAAGGAGAAAGCGAGCAGTTGCAATTTTTCCGAGCCACTGCCTCTAAGACAGAAAAGATATTGATTTTAGAGTCAATATTGCTCCAAACACGAATGCTGAGCGTTTCATAATTTTGCGAACTAACCAAAAAGTTTTTTTTCATTCAAATCTGCAATTTCTCCTTCAAAAATTCTTGTAGTTGACAGTAAGAGTTCGAAATTTCTGTTTCACATTAAATCCAGTGAAAAGGTTCGGTCTATGTGAAAGCAAAAGTCCTATTTGCGTCTAAAAACACATCACTTTCATACGTATTGATTTGTTTCAGAAATTTTACCCGTTTTTTATATCTCTTTTAACGTGCTGATTGTGTAGAAACAATAATTTTTCGTGAACATCGTCCAGACCACTTGACTATTTTCTTTTGGGTTTTCAAGATCCTTCCGTTTTCAAAGGATTTTTTTTCTCTCTGTGGTTCCGTACCTCGAAAAGGCAGCAAGAATGTAGAAATTTTCCTTTTTCTCTACTGCCATGAAATCTAGAACCAGAAAAGGAAACTTTTTTTGAGAATATCTATTTCTTACTGGTGAGTTTTGCGTCGAAAAGCTTATATAAATATTAATCTAAAAGAATTTTTAACCTTTGAATTTTTAGCATAAACAAGACGTGGCGTTATGGCCCTTTTAGGTCGCATGAGTATCATGAGTACAATGGAATCGCGGATCTTTTAAAGCGATGGTAAGATAAGGCTTAGAAAATTTTGTACTAGAAGAAAAGATTTTCTCAATTTCCAGCAGCGAACAAAACCAAAAAACTCGAGATATGCATTTTCTGTCACCTCAGAGAGAGCAAAATGGGTCCTCTCGATTTTTTCTGCGAAAACTGCTGCAATAATTTTTGAACATGCATAGAAATGCAAAAGATTTATGGATTGTAAAACAATTCAGTGCAATCCCAATGATTCCTAAAAGGAGTCATGGTAAATCAAACTCAAAACAAACTTTTGGAACAATCCAATTCCTAATTTGGTGTTCAAAAGGATATTTCAAACAACGTTTTTGAACATTTCGAATTTTGAAAGGACTAAAAATTTGCTGGATTACAATTCGTTATCAAAGGGACAGTGCGATACATACAAGAGGCAAGTGAGAGAGAAGCAAAAATTTGGGATGTTGCATAAATTCTTCAAGACCGTCCGCCTAGTTTGACATGGTAATGCTTCCACATAAGAGAAGGCAGGCAGCAGCCTTAGTTCAGAGATTATAGCTAAAATAAAGTTCCATAGTAAATATTGATATGATGGGTTCTTAACGCCTGTTTCGCCTCCCATAGTCTGCTCCGCATAGAGATTTGATCAGAAAACCACTATTTGGGCCCTCCTGCGCGTGCGCAAGTATGATTTTCCAACATTTGATTTTTTTTCTTTGTCGCAGACATAAAAGCTAATTGGCTGATGGGTCCATGTTTGCCGTTCCACTGTGTAGGATGAAATATTTCTCTTATCATCATGTGCAGATCGTGGTCATTTGAGGAAAATCTAAGGCCATCTTTGTTTTTTGATGAGAAATTTGGGAAGCCAATTTTCCACGCGAGAGTAGAAGTTTGCAGCCTTACCCATTATGAAACCTTACGTTGTTGGCATGCAGCTGTTGGGTAATAGCCATCCGACACCTAGTTTATCTCAAATATTGCTGCAACTTGCGCTTTGGGGCTTGAATATTTACTACTAGGCAGCATTTCAATGGAAATTAGTAACCATCACAAATTGCAAGAAATAATTTTCAAATAGTACACAAGGCCACAATAAGTGCAAAACTTGTAGAAAATATCTACGTTGAAAGGGCCTCTTTTTTGCGTGACTTTAAACTGAAAAACAAGTAGACAAAAACTTGAAAAATGTTGCAATCTTTCAGTTTTTTTCAATGTTAATTTCGGTATTCTTCGACAACTAGCTCAATGAGGAATCAAATTCTATTTTTTCAACCTCTAGTCATGGGAAAATACAGCAGGTGTACTATACATATTCATGGTTGATGCGATAAATAACTTTTGTGAGCAAGTTGTGAGTCTCTAGGTTTTTTTTTGAGAGAGATTCGATTTGTGGGCAGTTGAAATTTAGATCTTCTCTCAACATCTATGACCAGGCTTTTTAAAACGTTCATACAACATCTTTTGAGATTAAGTTTACTGCCTTGATGAATACGAAGGATTTTGACTAGTAACTTCAGAAGCATTCTAGTAGACTGCAGAGGTGAATGATAGAATTGCTGATATAGCAACCTTTCATATACTTTTCGTTCAAGTCTGTGTATCTATAGCTCATCCGTATGCAGAGGCCAGCTACTTCTGGTGTGAATAATTAATGTATCGATAGCTCTGTAAAATTCATTGTTATGCAAATATCATGGGAACTCAGCCACGGAGCAGAGAACTGACAGGTCTTGGGGAGACCTGTGGTCCAAAGTCGCGTTCAAATTTGAATCTTTTTAGGCCTCGGAGAGACAAAAGAAGGTAGGCTTACGTCTGTAATGCCCTATAGGATGTACAGCCCACCCCTACATTTTCAATAAAATTTCCTCACTACAACGATTATAGAGTATGACTATCATTGAATATAGACTAATTATTATCAATTATTTCTAACTGGATAATTGTCTTTGCAGAATGTTCCTGGCTTCCCGATCAATCATCAAATGCGTCATGCTGTCGTCTGATTGACATCAATTCTTTGATATTGTTTTGCTTTATTAGCTGATCAAGACAAATTGGCGGTGCGCGACGATTTCTAAATTTATCCTGTCTACGGAATGATGAATGAGAATTTCATGCATTGCATGAGCATTGAAACTGGTGCGTCCAGCTGACTGAAAATCAGATAACCTGCTTTTCCGGAAAATTCAGAAGTAAGTGATAATTTTGAACAGAACTAGTTTGAAGATTTTTGATGGTTTCAATTTAATAGACAAAGCAATGCTCAAAATTGGTGAAATACGTTAGAATACCCAGGAATCTCAATGATAGATAATCGGACATAAAACTTCCATTAGTCAAGTATCACAAACCAAAATCTTAGTCATCAATTTCTAACCAAGGGTTATTCGAATTTTCCACTCGGGTACAAACTCTTAGTAGCTGAATGATGAATATGATTTAGTACGCTTCATACCATGTACAGCGAATCTTTTCATGTTATGATATAGATATATTTTATTTGTTCAAGTACGCCCTTTGTTTGTATTCCTAATGTTTTCGCAGTTCGTTGCAATATTTTGATTATTTTCCCCTCTTCAGCCATTATTTGGTCTGAATGAAAGCTTAGAATGTGAATGCAGAGGAAAAAATCCTGGAAGTTCGGGAAATTTTCTAAATTTACTTACATGGCTTATGAAAATGTACAAGTGACTCGTTTATTCTTTTAAACAACTGAAATAATTCTCAAAATTTTTTGGAAATTCAAATTAGTAAAATAAAGTTTTTCGGGGGCTGGCTGCCGCCACGCCCCCTTTTACTAGATTTTAGGGATTATGGACCCGCAAAAATTTACCTCAAAACATTTTTCGGAGTGCGTGGCTAACGCCATGTGCCTTCATTTGACTTCATTTGAAAATTTGCAGCTCCGCTTCCCCCCCCCCCCCCCTCCCCCAGGACGGAAATCTGCGACCGCCACTGACCTATATGAATGCGAGTCCTGATTCGACGTAGTCTCAAACCTTATGTCTATTGTGTTTTCATGAATTCAATGCTCTTACCTGCAAGTTGTGCATCCAACAGCGTTTGTCCAATGAAGGGGGCCCCGCTCGAAATGCATAAAAGCGCAGAAAAAACCGCGAAGTACATCTGAAATGAACATATACGTTGACGCAACAGCCTACATACGTACAGCGATCCATCAGGGCGATGACGTTCTGATGGATTAAAATGAAACGCAATCGCTTATTTTACGAATGTGACCGAATGAGCATGTCAGCTCAGCATGTCAAAGAATATCGAGGAAGATGACAAGTTGCTCGATTTGTTAGAGAAATCGTCACTGAATATTATTTTGCTGATTTAGTGGAGCATGAAGTCGAGGATGAGCACTATTAAACACTAACCCGATCAAACACCAATCTAAAATTTCCAAAAATACACAATCAAAGAATATTTTATTGACATTCTATTATGTGCAAAAACGAAATGTGTGTTTTCGTTCAATACGCATTCGACCGTGCTTCAAAAATGCTCAATGATGCTGGCTGGAATGAAGCTGTCGGTTGTACGCGTATCCGCTTGAAATGCTAATTTGCCAAATTTAGATTTTGACTGAAAACCGCTGCACTTTTTCTACTACCCTATAAACTATAAATATGAACCGAGAGCCACTAAACTGGCATCAAATCTTTAACAAATGAACATGGAGTTTCTGACTGCGTCATACTGTTACGAAGAATCTTATTATTCACTTTCGCGTAACTCGTACAATTATTGGCTCTATTTCTATATAGCGAAAACTCAATCAGCTGCAATCAAAAAAAAAATTCCGCTGAGTGACCGCGTTAATTCAATTATTCAGGTGTCAATCTATAATTGTATAATTTGCATAAAATAGAGTGTAAAAAAGCAAAAGACGTTTATGTGCGATAATTAATTACAAAAATTGCGATACCTTCGTTTGATCTCTTAGGCTATTGAAAAAAACACTAATGTTTGCGATATAGACGTAGAGAAAGTCCATTTATAGGTCTGACATTGCACTTTATAGTGATGTAATATAATAATTGGAAGAGTACACAAATAGGAATGGTAAGGTAATTAAGTTGAGGAAGTTTGTGAGCACCATTTTGATTCGTTAAATCCATCTCAACTTTTTGCTTATCACTAACTTCACTGAAAAGAGGAAGTCATGTTCTGAGGGAATTTCAAGTGTTGCAGGAGTAACAATGAAAGAAGAAGACCACTTCAATTTCAATCTATCACTTCAATAGGTTGACAAAAATCTGAGATTTAGCACTATACGCTTTTACGTTCTATTCTCTCTATTCAAGAAAATTTTGTACCGACCGAGTATCCGAGAAATGTTATGATTTTCGAGAAAAATGAAAAAAATAGTTAGTTTCGACGTTTTCAATTTCAAAAAGAAAAATCAGCAAAATCTATATTGATAAAAATTTCGGGTGTTGCAACTTTTTAGGCTTTAGGAGGTCTATTTTGAAACATTCATTTTTACCGTCGATATTGTCGTTTCTAGGAAATTTCTACAGATAATTTAAAAATTACAAGATTCTCTTTTATGCAGAATTAACGCTAAGCAGGACTATTATGATAAAAAAAGTTGCTATACTTCGAAAAATGAGCACACTATTTGAAGTTCAACCTAACATTCTCCTAAAGCATCATTTCGTGCAACATGAGAATAATATATTCGTAAAATATAAGTTTTTGCTCGCTATGGTGTAAACGGAAAATAATAAGCCCAACGATTATCTAGGAGTTGCCAAAAGCTCGTGGATAATTACTGCGACAAATTCGTGCATTGCGCTGAAGTTTTAACCTAAAAACAACAAGTGCTGTAACTGAGTGGTAGACATAAGTTGAGTGTTGGTCTCCGGATTTCAACCTCCCCCCCCCCTCCCCGCCTTCTTCACATGATCAAGTGTTTTGAGAGGACTCCTGCCCGGAGGCGGTGAGAAATTCATTGACTGCTGTAGGGCTAGAAGCGCGCTACAAACAGGTCACGTGGACTAGTACAAATATTCAAGTATTAGTGCTGAATTAGGTAAATAGCGGATCGGAGACACCTAGTTAATTATTTATAAATCTATTAGCATCATGTAGGGGCAGAAAAAGGACAATTCAAACTTCCTGCAAAAAAAAACACTCTTATTACAAATATCCTCCGTTCCGTATAGAATTCAACTTTCAAGAGAAGAAGCTATGATGAGCACGAGATATAGCAGAATTTAGTGCAGCAAATCGTCCAAATTAGACGCTTCAGTAGAAGAAATTCCATAGAACTCCTACCCTAACCCTAATGCTAACAATAAGCCTCGACACATCGACTAGAAGATTCGAAGTTCATTTTGCGCCTTTTAGAGAAATCTAGCCTTTGCTGGTGCCTTTTATTGAGCCACAACTTCATTTTGATACTTTTCAATGTTTGATCTTAGAATGTAAATCTAAATTTGCCTACTTTTCGAGAACTTGCACCGAGAATGATTCGGATATTAGGAGGGATTGGTAAAAAAACTCTAGGCTAAACACACCTTCAGGGTAAGCAATATATAGCAAAATATACAAGTTTTCCTTTCATACGAAAATCATATTGCTCATTTGCTCTAGAATCGAGGAAAACTTGAAGTTTTGAAGTGTACAAAGCACTAAATCCCACTGACATGAAATGTGTGTTATCATTTTTGCACAAATGTGTAGAAAGTCTAGGTAAAAGTAACGAAAGTCAATAAACATCAGATTATGTTGAAGGTTACTTAGAAAGAGCAAGCCAAAGCAATAACTTTCTGCTTTGCTTCACGTCCAAAAAAGAGCCGTAGCCCTCGTCAATTTTTTAAAAGTTCCTTACGAAAGATTCTGCGATGTCTAACAATCAATTCTGCAATGGATGGTAAATGGCTAACATTCAAAATACAAAAAATGCAGAGGATATTTCACCACTGATACAGATGACCAGCTTGCATTACCAAGGTACAAAAAATCGTTTAAGGAGGCCACGCTACGTTGCTTAGATTATTTAGAGCTGCTTTTATGTAGCTAAGGATCCTCAAGTGTCTGCCACAATATAATTCTTCGAATACTCTGTGGAAAGAAAAAGCGATGAGACCATAAGTTACTTGAGAATTAGTGCTACGCCAGTGCTTATAGTGAACGCACGAGGAACATCTTGAAAAATTAAGGTTCGCAAGCAAAAGACGCAAATGTAATTTGCCTTCCACTTCGAGCGAATAAACACTCGAAAAAATTACTCTTCTCAACCTTCTGGGGTAGGGCAGTGTTAGCGAAGTGACCAGAAATGGATGCTCGCACTCCTTTAAGATTATGACAAATTTCAAGCTTTCCGTCAACAGATAACTGGATGACGTTTCAATTTGGAGAAGCTGATATCCCCTCTGTTGAGTTTTTCGGCAATTTGGTGTCATGTATTAAGTCCAAGTATCTAGTAAAACCGACTATACTGGGCCAGCTGAATAAATCGTGACTGGCTTAGTGTCTAATTTGGCCCAGGGAGAGAAATTCTGCCAGAGGTTGACATATGTCATAGGCATACCATGCCTGTAACCCTGGTGTCAAATTTTTTTCTGATTTGCACAAGTGATCCCGGAACTTTTACGGCCCACGTTATGTGGGAATAAAACATAGTTTCTTACAGTTATAGAAGTCAAGGAAGAAAGAGATAAGAGATAAGATTTCATAGTTAAATCAAGGACTATAAATAACTCCAATATATAAACTCGAGCTGGTGACGATGTTGAGGAAAAAAGTATCCATTTATTTATAGTAATTATTTGAAATTACAAAAATTCGTAGGAAACTAGATTCCGAAACTGGGTTTGGCTCCAAGAAGAGAAGTAAATCTTATATACTGCTTTCAGTATGAGGAAGCAACGGCCTGGGTGGGCTGATATAGGCTTGTTTACCAAAGAAAATGCTCCAGTTTCGTCTTGAATATGATGCGCGCTTTGCATCGTGAGTCACTGGGAGGAAGTAAGATCGCCTTAATGAGAAAAAAACGTAGCTTTTAGTCCCTCTGCAGATACGCGTTCATAACGAACTTTTATGAAACCCAATGTGAGTCTGAGTGAATTTATTGACTATGATGGAGATTCTCTTAGTTTCTAGTTACAGTTACTTTATTCAGTGGAAAAGGATTCTACATGAACTCTTTTAGTTGCCACGTTGCCGCGAAGGGGAAGACAATTTCCCGAGACCGCAATCACTCACTTGACAATCAGCTACATGGAATAATCATCGCAAAAGAGGGAGCCTACGGGATATTCTGGGTCATCGTTGTTCCCCCTAATGCTTCCCAATCAAAAAATCTAGGAGTTAAACCGAATCCATGGAGACAGACATTGGCAGTGACTTAGACAACGCCATAATTCTGTCTTTCGGTAGCATATACGGTAGCAGCAATACGTACGGCGAAGTCATATGGCAGCAGTCTATCAAAATAACATTGGGTTGTCCCGAATGTTATGCCGTTTCATCTTTGACAATTTGTGACTTTTCGCTGCCTCTAAGGATTTGCTTCTTTGTGATTTATTGGAAAAAAGAAGTCTTTTTGTGAACTTGATTTCATTGGAAAAAAAAGAAGTCTTTTTGTGAACTATCTCGATCGCGCAGATATAAATAGAAAAGAAAAAACATTCAATCTTCGACCATTTTAAGTCAGGTCGTCAAAATTCTGAAAATCTGAAATCATCAGTACATAAGTTCTGTGACCTACGCTTTGCAAATAAGAAAAAATTGTGTTTTTTGGACGCCTCTGTGAAAAGCTTTGATTTTTGAGAAATGTTGAGGAATTAAACAACGCGTTTTTTGTTGTAAACTCGAAGTTCATGGCTTTTCCCAGAAACTAAACAGCACAAAAGTTTTTCGGTTTTCCATTTTTATCTCTGCAATGAGTGCAAGGTAATAGATAAAGACAAATTTACATCAAGACATTTCATCAAGACAAATTTACAAAGAGGAAGACTTCTTCTACCTTACGAAGGAGCAAATTCGTTGAGGTAGTTAAAGTTACAAAATTTCAAAAATGAAACGCCTGGACTTTCGGACAACGTAATGGTCATAAGTGCGTGTAATGAGCTCATGTAAATTTTTGTACACCGTCTCGCTTTATAACA